GGTTTTTTGCTTCCGCTACTACCCGAACCGCAGTCCGCTTGGCCTGTCTGTACCCATCGGCTGCTTCAGGAGTCTCACGAACCAACCAGGCTTGGTAGGACTGGGAAAAAAACAAAAATTAAAACTGATTTTTTTTTTTTTTTTTTTGCAATGGATTGCCGCCACGACAGGCAGCGTAGGCCTTACGGCCGCAGCTTCGGACGACCGCGCCAACAATGGAAGTGGAGAACATAGTCCACTCAGACTCAATGTCTCTTGAAAGCCCCCCTTACCGGGGATTCCGCCAGACGTTCCCAACAGACCCTCACGATACGTTTGGGTCTGCCAGGTCTATCCAGCTTTGCCCCCCGTAAGAGGAGCCAACTCACCACCAGGTGGTGTTCCCACTTCTCGTTTATTGTCCATTCTTCCATCTTTCTGAGCTGCATCTCTGCATTTGTCTCTGAGAAAAGTTGCTTCAACTGTTCCATCACTTAAGCGTTGCTGACGAAGTCAGTGTTGTATTTCGGTCTTTAACCCTTTTTTTCGCAATGTCTTTTCAGCCTTAACTTGCATTTCATCACCAGAGGACATCTTGACATGATCTGGTGACACCCAGCTTGTTTTATGGATTTTCTTGTGAGGGAACACTCCCCCCCGATCACCAGATTATTGTTTTCACAGGTTCCATCAAGCATCTCCGAAGCTATTTTTTTTATTAACTAAAATATTTATACAGAGCTTTTATTTTGGAGGAGAGGTTACCGAGTCTGAAGCGTCATTATTTATTTCCGTTCCGCCATACTTGTCCGACCCATGCTGTTGGTGAGCGAGTAGCAGCACCAAGTGGAGTCTCTCTAATTAATCCTCTCTACAGAGTTTCTTTACCTTTCGTCAGGATGCAGATATGCGGCGTATGCAGCGAACAAGCCATAAAATACAGATGTCCAGGCTGCAGAGTAAGATAGTAAGTAATGTTAGCATCAATGTTTACAGTGTTAGCAGTGGTTAGGCTTAGCACGCGGCGAGTTTGTAAAATAAAATAAAAAAGTATATATATATTTTTTATTCGTCAGCGTGGCATATACATTTATTTTATATACATATACTTGCTGTTTTGTATTTATTGAATAATTAATATGGGTGATTTGAAGGAAAATATATGTTTGCTTTCCTCTTTCAGTTGTTCCCTTGGCTGTTACAAGCGACATAAAGGTCTTTTTTTTTTTTTTTTTAAATCAGTCTTCAAATGTTTCGTCTTTGGAGATTCTCAAAACAGGAAGTAGATAATTCGTGTTTTTGTTGTTTTTTTTTCATCATAGGAGACGCATGTCTGTATGCTGTACAGACACCTGAATTAGGGGACTCCTCGACTACAGGTATTTGTTTTCAGTTGACTTCAGTTTACATTAGAGCTTTTCAGACTATAACAGCTTTTATTGTCCTGATCAATCCAGATGTGCGTGCTAGCAACACTGGCCAAACAAAAAGTAATGCTGATGGGACACCTTGGAGTGTTGACAGCCTTCTATGTGAGGACATCATCGATAGAGTTCCTCTACCCAAGCTCCAGTTGTTAGGTATCAAATGTCTTGTTCTCTGGGACCAGACCCATGATTTACTTCTACTTTCTGAGACACAGTTTTTAATCGTCTTTGTTGAAATGGGTATCTGTAGAAAATTAGGTAGGATCTACCTTTGAATCTTTTAAAAAAACGATAAACTAGTTGCTGTCCCATTTTAAAAAAAACTATTGCTTTTAACTTTATATTTTTTCCATTATGATGTCGCCGTTTGTTTGAAACATTGCTTGGTATATCAAGTATATAAAAAAAAAACCCCTGTTAATATATCATCACTTTGTCCCCAGGTCAGTCAAAGGAACTGAAAGATCTTCTGAGCAATCCCCATCTGAGACGGCTACTGCGCTCTGTAGACACTGCGGAGAGTAAAGACAATGCCATGAAGACCGTAATGCAGGAGCCGTTGTTCGTCGAGTTTGCAGATCGGTGTTTGAATATTGTACAAGGGGATGGTCAGTAATTAACATATGATGGAGATGATGATGATCTCAGTGGAGTCATGTCTTTCTATTTCACCTACACCGTTAATGTTATTTCGGATGGATGCCAATGTACTTTATTTAAAACTTTTAGCTATTAAAAACAGAGATGACACTGATGACAGAGCAGTCAGGACACCTTTGGTAACACCAGTTTATTTCAGTCATAAATACAGCGATTTTAAGCTTCGTTGTAGAGGTAGAACCAACCCAACACGACTCACCGTTAGTTAAATTTAGAGCAGAAAAAAAATAAACCATTAACAAAGAGACTGTAAAAAAAAAAAAAAAAAAATTAAATGTTTTGACCTCTATGACAAATCTTGTCCAGCGGTGTATAATATTTTTACAGCAGCAGATAAATTGTGAAAAAAATCACTTTAGACAAACTTGGTTAAAGTCCATACAAAAAAAAAAAAACATTACTTTTAGCAAAGAAGCAATATTATTCTGAACTAAATTCACCCTTTTCCCCAATGCTTGTTCAGTGATTCCCTTTTTAAAAAGCATTAGTGGAAGTGAAGTGATTCCCTTTGGTTTTCCAGAAGAGTAAAAATAACCTGACATTACATTTGTGAAGTTCAATCACTTCTGATTTCAAACCTGAAAGAAACATCCCTGTATAAATAATTACCATGCTCTTTTGTTTGTTTTTTTATTTTTCTATTACATTTTCTCTCAGAAGCGACATTATATTTTTGATATACTGATAACATTTCTGATACTGCTCACATCATAAATGTACTCAATTACTCCTTAATGGAGAAAGAGGTGAGAAACTGTGTTGCGATTTGAGATCAAGGACTTTAGTAATACTCCATCGAAACAACTATGTGTTAAAATGTGGAGAATGCAGGAATTAACTATTGGTGCTTTTGGTCATTCATCCAGCAATTTCAATGGGCTAAGAAAAGTGTAAAGCAGTCCATTAAAACAAAGAATTGGCAGATGCTGCAAGGAATACTGGGGTGGTCTAGGATCAGCTGGAGGAACTTTTCAAAAATTACAAGTCTGGATAAAGAAAATTGCAATTTTTTTTTTATGAATCAAGATAATGCATAATCAACAGACGAAAAGTGCAACATCAACATAATCAACATAATCTCACTCACAGTTGTTTGGCATAATATCAGTCGTGAGGTGTATTTTGTTGAATCAACCCTTCTGTGTAAATGTTCTTTAAAAAGGAACTCTAAATTCCTGCATTCTCCACATGTAATAAGTACTTTGAATTCCACTGTAATACATACCTAGATGTATACGTTTTGCATCACTTAATAATACGAGGGTAAACTTTGGCCGCTTTAAAAAAAATACTTCTAATCTCCCAATTTAGAACCAGTCTTAATGAGTGCGATTACACTGTGACCACCTTTGAATCGGATTAATGGAGTCTTTCTTTAGTGTTTTGAAAAGAGGAAATTCTCTCCAGCAGGATCTCATTAAACCCTGTAATATCACTCTTGAAGTCCGGTCGCATGTCCGCATGGAGAAGTGGAGACTGTTGAAAGTGCAGTTTGACAGATCCCTGTATCCTGGGCTGAGCCCGTATGGAAGCGAGGTCTTTGGTGTACTGGTTAGTCTCCACTCTGTACTTCTCTTTAGTGGACTGCAGGTTTAGTGAGGAAATCATTGAGATCATTTTCTGGAAGTCCGTAGGTGTCAAAGAAACAATTACAGATGCAGCAGAGGCCAAGGCCAGGCCCACTGGCCACCCTCGCACGGTGACTGGCTCCTGCAGGGTGGGGAGCTGCACTGAGGCTTGTCCACCAATAAAGTTCACTGATGACATGTTGGCTTCCGTCAGGTCCTCTACGTCATCGATTTCGGACTCAGCCAAGGACTTTAATAGATCCTGCCATCAGAGCCAAACAATGATTGCAATTATTACAAGGAATGAGCTTGAAAAGCAGATAAGGTAAGCGTCGCTCTGTGAAATTTGACCTTCCATCTCCTCCAGCTGTTCTGAATGACGACAGCTGCTCGGTGATACCTGCGAACCTTCCTCCTAACCAGCCAGGATCGCACAGCTGCAGGCGGTAGAATGATAATAATTGAAACTCAGATTAACGTTCATTATGCGACAACACTCCATATAAAAACATGTCAACTCCATGTGAGTACATTAGGATTGGCTTTTCATTAAAAAAAACATCAATTCACTTATCATTCATTTGTACATTCACTTTAAATGGGGAAGTACGAGACACTGTACTCTAAAGGTCAACGACAACAGTGTTCTATTTAACTGGGAAAAAAAAGCAATTTAATTATAGAAAAAAATTATATTAGAATAATGTGCCTGGAAAAACCAACACAGATTTCTCATTTAATAAACAGATTGTAAAGCTCACTTAGACAAAGTGTGGTGCGTAAATTTAAGATATTAAAGTAAAATGTCTATCAACTGCTATTTACCAAATCTAAAAGTTGAAATAATAATGGGGAAATCCTGGCAGTACTGCGAATAAAATTCAAATAAAAGCCCTATTTTCCTATTGTCAAGACTAAAATTTGAATTCAAAGTCGGCAGTCTTTGACAGTGTGTAAACACGGAGACATCAATGACTTTACCTGCTTGGATCAGAGTAGCAGATCTCTGTTGTGTTTGGCGCTTCCGTCTCTGATGCCGCAGCCAGCAGCACTGAACGGTGAAGGCGCACTGCGACAGGATCTTCTTCCTCCGATGCTCCAGCAAGTCCAGCTGTGAGACAAGGAACGTTAAATGAATCATGAGAAATATCCGAGCTGGACGTGGAGCTGCCAGTGAACCTCGAAAAACTGACCATTGACTGGGTGAGAAAAACTTTGGTTCTTCCACAGTGACCCCATGAGTTGTGACCAGTGTCGTTTGACGGTGACGCCTCACAGAGAAGCTGCTCCACCTGTTGCTGAAGATCACTGTTGCTTTCGCCGAGGGATAATTTAGAGAGATACGATAGATATTCAGTGGCAACACAGCTTGAACACATTTGAAAAATGTCCTTTTCAAACATGAATGTTGCTTATCTGTGTTAGTCAGAAAGTAAAAAAAAACAGGTTAAGGGCCCAAAAGCACAAAAATAAATTTGATTATTGTCCAGAAATATCATCTCAAACATGATACAGCATGGCAGGTGCGAGTAATGAAAGTAAAAGATAATGAAATGCTAAACGATTGACAGCATTCACATTCAGTGAGAAGGCTTTTCTAAATAAGGAGATATCGCATGCACAGATGCATAGAGTTACCTTAAAGTTTCATAGAAGTTGAAAACATTACAAGAAATTCCTGCTTTAAAAGACCAAACCGGAAGAGTCCAGGCAGGGTAAGGAAGTGGGAATACAATTTACTAAAAGGGTGTAAGAAGGAAAAGGAGAACAAACAAGGAGCAAAGAGAGAACGTGGTATGATGAATATTTGACCGTTGTCAGCTTGCCAAAATCTGACACTGAGGGACACAGCAAAAAAAACCTGAAACCTGAATGTTTTGCCCTCAGTCCATAACGCCGTACGAAGCTTCTGAAAGGAATTCTGCCGAACAGAAGCAGTGACAAAAGTGACGAGTCAACAAAACACAAAGAAATAGCAGAAGAAAACACCAAAAGAAAAACATAATATTTTATACCTGATTGGAAAGCCGGCAGCACTGATGTGAATGGTCTCCACAATCCCACAGGCTGTCAGTTGCATGAGAACCTTACAAAAGAAATAAAAAAGAAAAGAAAAGAAAACATCTGTAAAAAGAAACGTTTTTAGTTAAGAGAGGACAGAGTCGAATAGGGTAAAACACCTCTTTCTTTTTGAAGGTCAGTGGTCTGCAGCCTCGGTTGGGTTTGATGCAACGGGTGTAATGCGGAGTCGTAGTGTTAAGAATCTTCATTAGGTTTTCTAGAGAATTCTAAAGACAGAATTTAGCAGCGGTCCCATTTAACACCAGTTAAAACTGACGATATGGGTGTTCGTTGTCTCTTACCTTGAACTTGGAGACCACTGTGATTTTATTTAGGTCCTTGGCAATCAGCCTGTCAGTGTCCCTGTTAATGAATATTTCTCGAAGCAGAACGTTTTCAGACTTCTGCAGCAGACTGATGAGTTCTGGTGGCACTGGGTCCTGAACATGGAGGAACAGAAAATGAATAGAAACGCACACGAGCTACAAGGATGGCAAGCAAAATAACAAAGTTTAAATAAAAAAACAATTTTAGCTTACCTTGTTTTTCTCCACCATGCCCTCTAGGTGGTAGTCAACTTGACCAGCATAATGGGCTACGGTGAAGTGGGGTACATTACTGAACTTGTTCCAGCTGATGTGAGTGTTATTGCAAAGCTCCATCTCCAAACGAACTCTGAGGGTCTTGGCATCAGGGGTCCTATTGAGACGACTTGTCTAAAGAAAAAAAACATATATATATATATAAAGCTGGTATACATGCATTCAACTTTTGTTTTTTTTCCCCCATTCATTTGCCACCAAAATTGATTATGTTCAACATTTGCATGTTGAAATTGAAATTATAACAATTTTGCCCATCACTGTTGGTAGAATCAATCAGTGTTTTTTTTTGTCTTAGCTTAATGGTTAGCTTTTCAGCCAATCTACAGTGGCCTGCTGGCTTTGAAAAAAAAAAAGAAAAAAAAGAAAGAATTTTATTAATTCAACAGAGCTCTTATGAGATGTCAAAAAAAATTAAAAAAAATAAAAAAATCAAAAAATCCTCCTGCTGTGCTTCAGTGTTTTTGCTTTAGTTTAACTTATATAAATCCAGACTTAATACTGCACATCAGGGGACACCAGGTATATGGGGGGGTCCCATGATCAATAAATGACTACATAGAAAAATATACCTCATTCAGAAGAGAAAAGATGCTGGGGCTCCCCTCAATTAGATCTAAGCAGCTCTGGTTGTCTTGATATTTGACAAAGGACCACTGCAGACCTTCTGATACATATTCGTCCTAAACAAACAGATTACAATTAAACATCACAAACAAGGCATGGCACATTTCTTCCTTTAGAAACAACGTAAAGAAGCTTGAGGCACCGTGAGAAGAGCCCAGTCCAGGAGTGCTACTGTACCTGCTGAGCTCTAAGATAATGGGCCACAAAATGTTGCTGCAGTTTTTCGTTTGCATAGTTGATGCAAAGCTGCTCTAGGAGATTTTTCTGAAAACACTCAAAGCCATAAACATCAAGAATTCCTGGACACAACACAGAGGGAACAGTGTGAGTACATTACCGTAATTTGCTGGTTTGTTTAAAAAAAAAAAAAAAAAAGAAGATGTTCATACCAATAAAGTTGCACCACATGGATTTATCGGCAGATATGCTCTTGTTGACAAGTTTCACCAGCCACTCAAATAAACTGTGGAAAAGGGACATACAGTACATTTATGGCATACGCTACATACAGACAGCGTTGCAATTTGATGACGAGGTTTTCGTTCTTACCGAGCGTAGGTGACCTTGGCCAGACAGTCTCTTCTCAAGCGGCACTCAGCCTGAGAACAGGGTTTCAGGATGCTCTGCTTTCCCGCCTTTAGAGTCCTCACTCTTAAACACTCCCAAAGCTCGTCAAATGGGACGCAAAGCAGCTCCGCAGCCTTTTCCAAGAAGTCTGAACACGGGGAAACAGAAACATTTTTCATTGTTTTTAAATCTGTGTTTTATCTCAAACAAAGTCGCATCAAATACCTTTTGATTCTTTTTCAATGTCCCAGGTTTGTGATTCATCCACGGAAGATGAGACATTCACATTGCCCAGCTGCAGAAGACCTGCAAGAACCTTAAAAAAAAAAAAAAAAAAACCAAACATGTTGACTCTGGGTTTACAGAGAAGAAGCAGAATCAGTAACTCTAAAGGCTGATGATTAATGTCCCACCATAAAGATTTGTCTCTGTCTTTCTTTGTCAATGCCCAGATGACCCATTGCTTCTAAGGTTTCATGAATACAGTCCTCTGTAAAACACATAAAGAAAAGTCAGTTCTTAAAATCATACACATCTGGGAAAAAATTTCATATAAATATACAGTATATATATATATATA